GACATCCAGAACGTCACTACACGTTTACGTCCCAGCACCTGAATTGCTATCTTTTTTAACTCTGAAAGCCCAGTGAGGCAAGAATAATGAAGCCATGGTAGTTTCTAAGCAGTTCTTAAGAGTTTTCCACTGCCAGTATGATTTTGCTGTTGCTTAGAAGCGAAAGAGATTCCTCAAGGACATAAGGAAGTAATGGGCTTTAAAAGGTAAATACAGACAAAGTCAAACCATATGTTATTGCAGAGGTATAGGTAAAGTAATGCTGATAGTTGTAAAAGGGGAAAATAAAAAGGCATTGAGATATAAACATTGGACTGAGACTTTGGCCCAGGTCTGCCACGGACTTTCTCTGTGCTGGAGCATGTTCTTTACCTCTTGGGAGCCGTCTGCCTAGCGTCTGTCATTTTGTCTCTTCTGGTAGAATAAAGGGCTTATTAGCTTGGTCTCAGCAGCACACTAATGCAGTCACACAGGCTCTGGACAAGAGCAGGCATGCACCTTGCCAAGTCACAGGGTAGGCAGAGGGGAGCCCGCATCTGCCCAGGGATGGCCACGGGGCCAGACCCGTGCAGCTGGCGGGACCGCAGCTGCGCCAGGAAACGGCTCCATCTCCAACGCGAAATAAATCTGCTGCACCGAAAGGTCGCCCTGCACAAGCGGACACTCTGCGGTGACCTTCAGTAGGGCGATGCCTCGTGTCAGCCGTACCGAACAATAAGCAGAAATGGCACAACTGTGCTTGCACGCTTGCCAGGATTTCCTGCCCACCAGCAGTCGCTGCGTACTTAACCGTGTATTAATAAACCTGCCTTTTACCAATTTCTCCTAAACACTGGCACAAATTATCCTGATGCATCCATTTTTAGTAAAACAAATTAATTAGTTGCACATCATCTTTTTCTATTTAATCTCTCACAGAAAATGGGAAAAATTATTTATGTAAAGTATGTTACATCCAAAGTTAATTTAATTTCATTGATATGCTCTTAGTATAAATAGCACTGTTATAGATTGCGCTACAGTAAAAAGAATATTTGCAGTAAGAATTATTAAAGCAGCTAAGCTTGGTGAAAAAAAAAAAAAAAGGACAAAATTCCTAGCATATAGGCCTAGGGAAGGCTTATCCCTTTTGCCCAGAAAACCTGACTGCATCAGTTGGTCTGATAAAAGTACTTCTTCCTACTTCTTCCTTTGTTGCCTCTTTGATATCCTTCAACTATCGTAGCAACAACATTATTGCAAATTACTATTATTAAAAAATTATGCAATTTATACTTTTTCCTTTAATAACATTTCAGAATCCATTCAGTATACTTGTTTAAGTGGTGAATGCTATTTAGAAGGGGATAAATACTGATTTACATTTCTAAGTGTCTTTTAACATAGAGAAGACACTGTCAATGTGAAAATCTGTAGGGAGTGGGAGATGGCTTGGAGGATAGAGGGAATAATCATGTCACATTTAAGCCTGTATGATCTGTTTCCATAGAAAAAGGTTAGAGATCAACAAATTCTCAGTTTAGTTCAGTAATAAATGAAGGTTGGATAGGGTATTAAGTTTCTGGGGGGAAGCATTAGCCAGTATGTACAGCAGCAGCCTCTGGTGGTCTAAGAAAAAATGGTAGTATCTATAAGTAAGGATAGAAATACCTTTTTTTAAAAGGATGTATGTACATATTTAGCTATTTGACTCCATCCTCCATTCAACACATTAAAAAACAGATGCTTTCAAAATGATCTGCTGCCAATATGCTTGTTAAAATCTGAACAGTAACAGTATTAAAATTCATATGCATTCATTAGCAAGTTATATAAAAGTAAAATGCTTTTGTTTAATCATTCCATGAAGTATTACAGTCAATGCTGATTATTAAGAAGTTTTTTCCCTTGGTTTGCATTGACAAAAATGAAACCAAATTTATAAGATTATTACTGAATTGATGACATTTTCTGTCTTCACTTGTGAATTCAGTTGGCAGATGTTTTCAAGAACAAAAAATTCTGTCTTATTACAAAACATATTAAGCAGGTTTTTCTGCCATAATGTTTGACATGATGTTTATTGCCCAGACCAAATCAGTCCCTTTAACAAGCTATAATGTATGCCAGAAAGTACATTATTTCATAGTTAAGGAAACTTCCAGTATGAAACAATAAGTACTTTGATCTTTCAAGCACTATGCTTAATGCACCACACACTCCCATAGCTGTTTTTATTTGTACTCATTTTGTACAAAAGTTCAGTGCAACTTGAGATTTTGTATTTTAAGGCTGTGCTTTTACATATTATTGAGTATTCCTGCTATTTTTTTTTTGTTTGGTTGGTTTTTCGCTACGAAAATAAAGAAAATACTTAAAGAAATTTACCATGGAGGAGTTCAATTTTTTTTCAATTCTTCAAAATCTAACTACTCAAGTGTGAGCATCGTCCAGACTTTACCAGGACAAAGCTTTAATTTGTTCAAATGGCATTCCCTCATCAGATCACAACAGATCTCAATGACCCTATGAGAGCATCACCGAGGATATTTATTCCTACTACTCAACAGTCCGAAACAATTTCTCCAGCATATTTGACACAAACAAATTTTCCCTCAATGTCAGACGCAGTTGGTGCCTCCTTGGGAGGATATTTTTCATCTAGTCTCTGTGCCGGTTTTCCCTGCCTAGCAAAGACGAGGCAAGGTTTGCTCAGGTTTTTCAAAACTCTTTGATGAGATCATTATGAAGCATATACCATCCTCAAATATTTCTGTGGAGCGACAATACGTTTTATTTCAAGAGCCCAGTGAGTCAAATGTATGCTACACTACACAGTAAGTGAAGGTTGTGTCTAAGTTGCCCTTTGAGATCACCCCTAACCACCTCCCACCCCGTACCCCTCAGCAGCCCACGGCTGCAGTAAGCCTGGCAGCAAGTCCCAGGGCACAAACGAACGGCGATTCCCGTAGCACACGTAAAGCTACGGACCCAAGCGCGGGAGGCAAGAAATACACTGCACACACGGCATTGCACCATTTTGTTCGCATGGTGTGATGCCTGGACAGACAGACAACTGCGTCCGTGGCCAAGAAGGTGGAGCAGAGGACGCGATGCTCACAGCTCCTCTTGCAACCACCTACAGACGCAGCAGTTCTGCCCAACAGAGTAAATGGCATCCTATCGGCGCTCCAGTTTTGTTTCAGAAACCGATAGGCAAGTAAATTGCAGTCATTTGTTCTGCCACACACCCAAGCAGGGACATTTCTCATTCTGTTTCAAAAAATCCTCTGTACTAGAGGCTATTAAAGAAAAAAACTCAAAGAATTCTTTCAGAATAGAACAGCAACCACATAAGAAAACCTGATTTCAGTTAAGTTGCCCAGGAAAGGACACTACCACCCACACCTTCACTAAAACTCATGTTACTTCTTTCCTTGGTTTGAAGAAAATCAAATACAGGGAATGTCAACAGTCATATTTGAGACACAGAGTTGTGCAAAGAAAACGGGAAGGATTCGTGCATTTTATGTTTCAGGGTCAAACCTCCTGAAGCCAAATTTCATGTCTCCTCAAGTAAAAGAGCCACAAGAAGGTGGAACTGCTAGAAAGATATCAAAAAAAGGTTCACTTTCAACAAGGGGACACTGGACCAGCACACGGACTAAATGCATTTCTCAACAACACAGCAACATCGTCTGCTGACTTCTGGTGGACCTTGAAACAAGCCTGGCTGCCCCTCTTATGAAGCAGGGTCTGGCTGGTGGGAAGTATAGCATCTCAGAAAAATCAGTGGATAGATAAACCACTGCCCTGTTGGTGACTCTGGACATCTATACACATCCTTTTGTTTCCCATACTCAGTAGCGAGATCTTTCTCAAAGGACACATTAGTATTTATGGTAGCAGTGATAATGTCGCATCCAGGTCACAAACTCTTTTAACTAGCCAGTACAGCTGTATTTCTCCTACAAACATGGTAATGCTAAACCACAATTAATAGGAATACGTTAAAATTTAAGACGATTCTAAAATTTAAGATGTTGTCTTTCGCTGGATTTTTCTCTGATTCACACCAGAAAGGCACACACATTTTTCCTGTTTTAACTACACTGTAGCATTTCTGACATGTTTTACCGTTAAATGAAAATGCTAACTTTCACAATGAGGGTTTTGGAAATTGCGTGACTCAGTCTTCAATGTGTAATGCATAGTATGTATATGAAGCAGAATGTGTCAAAGTGCAAATAATATTGTTTGTGCCCCCTGCAGAATTAGAAATCCTCGGGTAGCACTGTTATAACGATCCCATGCTGGTAGCATTACAAAGTGCAAAGGTTCACTGAGTAAGAAAAGAGCAAGGGACAGTTTCCTCATTACACCATTCTCGAACTATTCTAGCTTAAATATTTATTAAGATATTAATAACTCTCCTCCTTTATCTGCCTTCAGAAGTTCAGCTGAAACACAATGGATGGCTGCTCATATGAAAACAATACATTATAGGGTAAATCTGCTACCACACAAGATGAACATCCGTATTTTCCACAATACATTATTAATTCAGCAGGTAATATGTTAAAAAACTATCAGGCTGTAGCGACTGTCTCCCCAGTATAAGACAATATAATACAATAAATGCATGCATGACATGTGAAGCTAATATGTTGCCTAAGCTGCACTAGAAAGTGTTTCTTACGCACACCTCTGTTTATAAAATAATTTTTACGAAGTCTTCCTTAAATCATTCTCTTTCCTGATAGCACCCGTGAGCTCCTCTGGGGTTCATATGGAGTTCCCCTTTGAAATTAGAAAGGAATGTTTTGTAACTCTTCCAAAACCTCACATTCAATAAGTGACAAAAAATATCAGTAAAGAGCCCGGAACTCTGTATGAACTCTTGAATGCCATCTTGGTAATGTGTTTGTTCTTAAAAAAGCATGCTGTTTATTAGCCAATACAGACAGTAAACATATCTATATATCACTAAAGAAGGGCAAACAAAACCAGAAGAAACTTACTCTAATATACATCTGCATAGTTTCTTTTTCTTTTTGCGGATTTCGATACTTTTCGTAGAAGTCACGTCGCTTCTTTGTTTCCTTCTGGATTTTATCTTTTCTCTCCCTCTTTTCTGCAGGTTCATCTGAGCCATCAGAAGACAGCTGTACTTGGGCTTTTGTCTTCTCCACTTCAATATAGTTCTCATTGGGATTCAGTACTATTACTCCATAGCCTTCCTGTTTTAGAAGAGACACACACACACACAAAAAGAATAAATATGAAAAGGGAGATTTAATGCTTGAAAATGCTTTGCATTTACTTTAATGCTCTTAAAAACTTTTATATTTATTTCAGTAAGTTCACACAATGTAATTTATAGGAGAGCATTTTAACAGTATTCTGTTTGTTTCGTTTCTGTCGTTAAAGGGATATTGATGTGTGAATATGTGTCTGCGCGTGCACTTATGCTCATACACATCCCTCAGCGTCAGAAAAAGTTGCCTGTTTTACCTTTAAAATAATTTAATATGTTGTTTTATTCATAAGCACTTTATCAGACTTTTTCAGAAAACAGTAGGAGAACTAAAAGCAAAATATTATTTTTAAGAACTCTACATAATGATGAATAAAAAGCTTTACACTCAGCCAATACAAACCTTTAAAAGAAAAAGGATGGAGGGATTTCATATATATGTGTGTGTGTGTGTGTATATAGAGATACATACATACGTATTAGAGAAAGCACGTGAGAATTATTCACCGTAGTTTAAAATAGTAAAACCTTTTGTCTAGCTGACAACAAGTATACCATGCAGAAGCCAATAGTGGCAGTAACGATGAATCAATACTAAAACTGATTCAGTGGTATTGCTTACAAGTCAACTCTTTTACTGTCGGGATGACTTTTAAGTACATCTTTAAATCTGCTCTAAAACTTCACTGGGATTATGTCCTGTATTCAACAAACCCAGAGAAAATTCGTGACCTGCAGGATGCTTTTGAGCATACCAGCTGCATTTTTGTGCCTCAGAAAATGAGCCGGTTGAAAAATACATGAATTTATGAATGAGAAATAAATCTTGAATAAATCAGCCAATCATTTTATTATGATTTTTAAATGATGGCAAATCACACAAGAATTGCAATATTCGTGGAAGATATAATCGCAAACACAGGGAGAAAAGAGAAGCACGTGCGTTTAACAGATGAGTCCTTAAAGTTACCATGGGTTCCCAGTCAAAATCAAGCTGTCCTTTAAAAGTAAATTTTAATAAAGACTTACTTTTTGGAAACGTCTATATTAATTACCTAACCGAACAGCTTTATTCCAGCTTTTCACTCGGCGCTTCGTTTTGCACTTGGGCTAGGCACGAGGATCAAAGAGGTCCCCATACCTAGCTGGCCAGGGCAAACCAAGCCCACGCCAACAAAAGATACTTTATTTGGGCTTGCTTTATTCTAATCTGTAGAGCCATTCACAAACCTTGTAGCGCATTGTGGCCACTGTCAGGTAGACAGATTGTCACTCGGTGATTTTCTACAGTTGGACACACTCGACTAGTTATCAAAATCGCATCTGAAGGGAGTTCCTACCCCTCGTCCTTGTGCCCTTCTCAAACGTCTGCCGTAGCTTCTCCTCCCACCAAAAACCAAGTTAAAGGGCACGGTTGCACTCTGCTAAACAGGGTGAAATAGAGGCATTCAGAAGACTGTCTTTGGCGTAAGGGACGTAGTCAAAAAAGGTCACCATAGGCCAAAGAGAAAATTGCCTCCTCGCTAGACGCGGCGCCGTGAGTAAGTGGTCTCCTGTCATCTCGCTCCCCTGCCCTCCCTGCCCAGTGAATCGAACGGGATAAATATAAACAAGCAAATAAATAAATAAACAAAGTGGGAAGGGCAAAAGAAAAGAGAAGATTAAAGAAGACAAAGTTTAAAATCTACCCGTGCCACTGCTGGTCATATTAACGCACAACATGGTGCCATCAACATGTAAAATTTCCAGCGTTGAAAATTCAAAGCCCAAAGTCCATCACAGGGGAGATCACCACTTAGAAACGTTCCTAAATTACACGCCTCAGATGAAAAGACCTTTTTTTGAGCTTGCTAGCGGCAGAGTAGGACTAAGTTTTCGCAGTCCTTGGCAGGCTGGTGGTTTTGGGGCTTTCTGCACTGTTCATCTTCTTGACCCGCTCGTTTTGAGCAGAGACGTTCTGCGCATTGATTGGTTTTGCTTTCTACACAATGCCAAATGCAAAATTCATGTGTTTATTACAGGTTTACGAGTGTTACAGGGATTTGAAACTCTGTGCCCACTTTAAGCTGACCACAAAACAGACACATAAATCATCAAAGAAGCAGAATTTGTCTAAGTTATTGATTATGTAACTGAAAATTACACGACTCATTTGTCCAATTTTATGAGGACACAATGTCAATTTTTCACATAGGTATCAACAGATGAAATATGATTCCATTTTTAAATTCACTATTTCATAAATCAATTAAAGGATTTTTATCAATTATATTTTAAGCAGTGTAACATGTCTCCCTTTACATTTTTTTAAAAATTTCTCCCAGACAGCAGGCTCTTCCTGTCAGTACAACTGAAATAACTAAGTAGTAACTGAGACAGGTTGTCCTCATAATTGAGAAAAAAAAGAAACCTTACAATTCATAAGACTTTCCTTTAGGAAAGTTGTCCCTTTTCAGATCGTTTTGCTTACATGACGTAGCGTATTTCCGTTTCCCTTGTAATTCTGCACCCTAAATTGCAAGACGGAAAGAATGGCGCCAGAAAGAAGATTTGAGAGTAACATGTACAAAGCAACTAGCAAAATTGTGTCCAATTACAACCTCTCTCATTCAGCCTTAGCCCAAGCATTTTCTACTGAAAAGGAATATTCAGCTCTAAGTAACACCTATGTAAACAACGCGGCTTTTAAGTTCAAATAATTTTTAAAAAACCTATTTCACATGGGCATAGCTGTGCCGTTAAAGTTCAGCGCAATCAGAAAACGAAAAAAAAGGCAGAACTCCTCACTAACTGAGTGTGGCTGGGCAGAGTGCAAGTCAATGCAAATCTCAGCACCTGAAACTGCTAACATCTGAAAAACGGCCTTTAGCAAAGCCAGGAATAGGCAAGATTCACAGTCTTTGGCACGACTGTTAAGCAAAGACAAAATCACATCCATTAAGAAGTTTTAAGTGAAAGTCATTTTCAGAAGTATATACCTCACAATGCCATTACAAATATCAATTTCAGCTATGACGAGCTTATGGTATTATTAAAAAATAGTAACCTACGATGTAAGTAAGGACTGTCATGCAGGAGAGTTGTTAAAGCTTGCCACCATCAGTAAAACATTAGGTCTGTTTCCAATGTACATAACAGTGGAGGAGTTTTCTCCACTGTGTCCAGTGCGCACAGAGAGAGAAACCACTCTCTAAAGTGCAAAGGTTTTTCGCGGTAAAAAGCTAAACTTTCGGACCACCTTGCCCCCCCGCCATCAATTTTCAGCTGGCTGAAACAAGTCAAGCCCTGTGCTCTACCACACGTCCGAGAGAACCCAGGTGTTGCACAGAAGCCAAGGTCTGCCTGCATCCCCTGTCAGTGTACCCGTGATGAGAGGCAATAATCAGGACAGGCACTGAAAAACACAAGTCCCGGCCTCTAATCTACGACTTCAGTGGATACAATTACGGAGTCTCTCTCGGACTACAACACCCAATTAACAGCTATTTTCCCAAATTCTAATGCTTCAAGGTAAGTAAAATGTGATCTACACGAACTACTAGCACCCTCCAGGTAACTACTTTTTGGAGGCAGAGGACTGTGTGCAAACTCCACTTTCAGGCTCATAAATACAAACACAATTAATATTTATGATTGAGCCAGCAAACGATGATGAAAAGGAAAAGCAGGCTGACAAAGTCAAGTGTTGGGAAGCGTCATGAATCTCGGCTTACAATATCTTTACTACAAAGCCAGAACAATGTAGAAGGGTCTTTTTCACCGTAATACATGAGTCAGAAACGGAGCAGTACTTTCCGCCTCTTACTGGAAGTTCAAACGAGATGTTCAAAATGGAAGACATACCAAAATTGCTGCCTCTGACAGTAAGACTAAGGTTAAGAAAAAAAGGAACCTCAAAGTATTTCAGGTAAATTCCAAATCTTTTGAAATCTGTTCTGCCTGGCCACATGAATAATGAGCTGAGAGTATTCAGCTCTGCATATTAATCCAGCAAGATGGGACACCATATGTGACCAGAGAGGTCAGGGCTGGAGAGGAATCTTTTGACCTGTGTAACTATCTTTTTGGACTGCAAGCGAGGGTCTGAATAAGATCATTTTCCTAAGCTTTATCAACCTGAATTTTCAAGTTCAGGTTTCTGTTTGGATCGTTGGCAACAACACCGGAGGCAATTCCCAGGGGAAATGCAACTCAAAGTGCTCAGCTCTCCAACCTGCCCGTGGTTAAAACGGACACAGAAATATCCATTCATCTTTCTGAAAGATGTATGTTCTGTTCATTTCCCATCTTTTCCACGAGAAGGGTACGTCTATGTCACTGTTGCGACACCGTAGGTGCAACAGTGGGATGAGGTCATGACAACCAATCAGAAGTCACTAGTGAAGCGTTAAAGTAAACATAGCTGTTAGAGATGCAGCTCAGCTTGAAAAATGCCCCCTCCATTATTTGAGCAATTTTCTCAAGACGTGACCTGAGACTGAAACGCCTGAAATGTCAGTTGACTCCGCTTTCCATTTCCACTCAATGTACATTTTGGCAACTGCACCCTCCTAATACTTTGCGATATTTCCATCCCGGCTACACCTCGGCTGCCTGAATTCCAGCACTGTGTCCAAGTGTGTAAAAATGCCGTGTTACTGCCAAACACACATTGTCCCTCTAAGTTCCCAACTTAAAATAGCTCATCAAGTTAGGCAGGAAAAGAAAACATGCCACAAAAAGTTTTTAGACGACCACCTGTTGTCTATTATTTTTACATAGCACTTACTCATAAATCATAACACAGGGTAATTAATCAAGCTGTCAAAGAGAAGGTCAAAGGTTATGTGGGGGAGTCAGAAGGTCATGCATGGGCTGATAGAGGTCAGGGTCACACCGCATTCCTCATTATCAAGTTGGGATGAGAGACGGCCCAAGCAAACAAAAGTGAAAGCAGATGGAGAAGTGAGTGGATAAAAAAAAGGAGAAAATTTCACAAACAAA